AAATTTGATTTGAGATTGTTAAATATGAGATACACGTATTTCAGACAGAGAGAAAAGGTATAGGAAATGTTATGAAATTCTAACTATTACAGATATTGAGAATTGTTAATGAAATAATTGGATCATTTAAAGAAACCTAGTCAGGATCTGTTTATTTTCAAAGGCTGATGTATATAGTGGGGTGTGCGATAGACTAACCTCCACGTGGTGCACCCTGGGCAACGTATACTCATACGGTAAAAAGTCTATTAACTGGTAGCTGACTTCTGACTTCAAACTACCCTCACCCCATTGTACGTCATATTCGACTACTTTCACAGTACTCATCTCACCTATTTCCACTTTTGTGTCTGTCTCTTTTACATCTTTGAAACTCTCTTCTGTTCCCCCTCTCCCTCTCGACTTGTTTCACTTTGATGTTCCTCCTCCTCTGTGAAGCCTGAAGTCAACTAAAGGGCTAATGATAACTTTCACAACGCCTGCCATTTGATATAAATAAATAAATGTACATAGTTGAATTAATAAATGCAAGCATTTATTCTCAATGAGTCAATAAAAGCAGTCAATTGTTTAATTCAAGTAAATCCGCATTTCATTGTTTTAAGAGACAGAATTTAAATAAATGCTTCATACTACCGAATCGTACAAATTAGAGTTCCTACCTTTCCCAAAATCGATTGGCGCAAGTCACTTTCACAGTCAACTTTAACCCGATGGAATACTCAAGGAAAAAAACATACACGTACAAAGGAAAGCCAAAGGAAATTTCATAATTTCCACTCAATATAAGTGGGAATATACATTTTTTCTCTCTAATAAAACCAGACTATTGATCAAATGGAAAAAATGAACAAAACTTAAAATGTCACCTCTGTGATGAGAAGCAAATAAGCACTAAAAGAAGCCTCAAATAACTTGACTCCATTTAATAAAACATTGAAAAAGCCAATACCATTAGAGTAAATTTAAGATAACCAATTAAAGCAATGTAAAACCGTGATTAGCAATTTAAATAAACGATTTAAATTGATAATAAAATAAACACATATTATGTTACTATACCAATCAACCATGTTTTACATGATTCGAGTTAAAACTAACCTGAAAGCCAATGTTCAGGTTAATAGACATGCCTTCTTTGAAAACTGAAGTACTTTTAGGGCCGATGACAAAATTCCCGTCACGAAATTCGATACCAATGACAAACCTACCAAAGAAAGGGAGGTAAGTTTTACAGATTAGTGATAAAAGCTCCGAATACCCTAAGCTTACCCAAAATTGCGAACGAGTTTATCAACTAGTTTAGGATGATCGGCCTTCAGCTTATTAACTACCATGTTATAGAAATCTGAGAATATGACGCCGGGTTTCATCTGGGCAATGGCCCAATCCATTAAATTGTTGAGATACTCATAATACTGTGATTGTTTTGATGTGGGGTTTACAATGAGAGTCCGAACAACATTCGAGCAGTATGATCGATAACGAACTCCGAGAGTGCAAATGATAGTTCCGAAATGCATTGGCTTGGTGTCACTAAAATTCAACATTGTTACGTTTCAAACAAATAAACGAGCATACTTTTCAGCGCTAAATTTGAGACTGTAATTTCCACCACTTTGAATAAGAGGATCGTAGCACAACTCCAGGTTGTCTAGCTCAAAATCTTTAAAAAGTTCACGATTTTTAAGTGCTTCCTGACAACCC